CGGCGGCGGCGGCCGCCGCCGCAGTCAAGCGCCCGGCTACGCCACCGGAGGCGGCCGACGCGCCATCCAAGGGGGGCGACAAGCCCAAGGCGAACAAGGGCCTTGCGAGCTTCAAGCGGGCCTTCTCTAAGAAGGGCGCAGGCGAGGACGCGGCGGCCGGCGATGCGGCCAATGGCGCATTCTCGCGCATTGGGCGCGCCCTGTCGACGAAGCGCAGCTAGAGGACGGCCAGCTGGGGAGTTTCCAGCGGCAACGCGGCGGGCGCCCTTACTACCACAGGCGCCGCGAGGCGTAACGACTAACGACAGCGATGATGCCCGGCTCTGCAATGAGGCGTGATGCTGCGCCGCCCGCATCAAAATACAGGCCAAGGCGACTGCCCGCTATCATGCTGGAACCCCACAATTACTGAGCGCGGGCGCGCGGGAACTTTGCGCGTCGGGTTGCGGGGCCCAAGGCGCTGCGGGACGCTGCCCTCCAAGGGTGGAGAGAAAACACTTATGGCCGAGTTTTGGATGCCATCGCATTCTGTGTTCCGACCGCCGCTTCGCTGCTGAACGGCGGAGGCCACGCCTCTATTTAATGGGCCCGGGCCGCCCGCGCCTCTCTGGCGGCGGCGTGAGCGATTTCGTTCCATCATTCTCCTCAACCGTTGCACAACTCTGGCAGGACCCAAACAGTGTGCCCCCCTATTTCATAGCTGGCGCCGTCCTGTTGTGCTGGCCCTCTGAACTCCTGATTTCCTAGACCACTGCCCGCGCCGTTGCTCGCAAGCGCCGGGCTGCGCAGCGCCCACGCCACCTGTACGGGGGGCGCGTGCGGCGGCGACGCGCCTGAGGCGCGGCTGGCGGGTGGCTTGTGTGGCCGCTGCACTTGGGGCCTCGTCGCTGCACAGCTTCGTCGCGCTGCTGCGCATGCGCGGCGCTGCGCGCCATCGTGACACCACCCAATAAACGGTTGATCAATTGCGTGCGTTGGAGGGGGCCAGGTATTGGGCTGCAGGCACGCATCCTACTCTGCTACGTGATCTGCAGGGCCGCTGCTGCTACTCAGTTGTCTCCCAAGCATCCTGGGAGTTTGCACATTCACAACTTCCCCGACTTTGCCGCAATGTAACGCCACTGAGCGAGGGAGCTGATCACGTATGCGGCGTGCGGAGCACTGGGGAAGGAAGGCAGCGGTGGGCGCTCGCTGACTGGTGCAGTGGACAATCCACCTGCAAGGCGACACCTGCGCAGCTAGCAACACCCTGCTGACCAGTGCTGACTGACCCAGCAGGCCCATGCATGCATCTCCAGGGTTGATGTTTGCGCTCAGCGTGCAGGTGCGGTTTTTCGCCTTCCCAGCCTGGGTGGGGGTCGGGGGGTGAAAGTGGGAAGTGACCGCGCTGTGCGCGCTTTGTTTGGCAGCGCTTGTGCTGGCGTGATCATGAAGTTCACAAGCTGAGTCGAAGCGCTGTCATCACGTTTATTGCATCTTCCGCCACTCGCCGCCTGTCGGGACAGGTCTGCTCGTCAAGCTCCTGAACCTGTCCTCCTTGCTCAAGACGGCTTGACCCACGCATTGGCCGCGCTTACGATTACAATTCTCCAGTATGCAATCAATCTCGGCCGGGAGCCAGGGCCGGCTGGTCCAGCGACCAGCAGCCTTGGGCAAACAGGCCAAGCCCGCTGCCGTCTCCTGCCGAAGGCGGATGCGTGTTAGCTGCGCTGTGGAGGCTGCGCCAGACGTGAGATTCTGCGCAAGCAGGCGCATGCGCTTGCCGAACTCGCATGCGGCGCACTGCTGCACCGCTGCACCGCCCTGTGCCGAGGTCGCACTGCCGCCACCGTGCGCTGCGGCCATGCTGCGCGCGTTCCAAAAGGTGCGCACGACTGCATCAGTGGCCTTTCTTGGCTGTTGTGCCACTGCCCCCGCCCTCGCAGGCTGGCGAGGTCTCCATCCGGCGGCGGCCCCCGCGTGGCTTTGAGACGCAGCCGTGAGCCCCGCCGCTGGCCGGGCGCCACATGCCCGTTGAGGTCATGAAACCTCGTCCGCGCGCATCAGGGCGCAGATCACGACTGGCGTGGTTTGCGACAGCAGCAGCGCCACCTGCTCACCCCATCAATTGCTCCGCGTCCCTCGTCTCACCTTTCTTTGGTGCGTGCGCATGCAGATGCGGGCCTTTCAACTACAAGGTCGGCAACATGCCAGATGACAACCAGCCGCGCAACATTCTGGAGGAGATTGTTTGGTACAAGGCGAAGGAGATCACGGTCTGGAGGGACAAGGTCCCGCTGGCCGCGCTGCAGGTGGGGCTGCGGTTGGAACCGCTGCGGCTGGTGCCGCGCACCGCTGGGCCGGGTCCGCGCGGCGCTCGACGCCTGCGAGGCCCGCGCGGCGTCGGCGGTGGGAGGCAGCGGCGACAGCGCTGCAGCAGGGGCTCGAAGGCGGGGGCTAGCCTTGCCCAGGCTGCGGCTGCCGCCCTGATAGGGGCCAGCCCTGACAACACCCCCACCTTGCTAATTCCCATGCAAGCACAACACACGCTTACACACACGCACACACCGGCACACGCACACATGTGCACACACGTGCACACACATACGTCAGAACACACGCGCACGCACGCGCACGGATGGCTGCAGACACACAAACACACACTCTCTTTTTCGAAGCCATGCACAACCCGCTTCCCATCCCGCCTTACAGTCCCTCGCCAAGAAGGCCGCTCCCCCCGTGGACTTCAAGGCTGCCATCACCGCCCGCGCCGCCGCCACCGGCAAGCCCGGCCTCATCGCCGAGGTCAAGAAGGCGTCCCCCTCAAAGGGCGTCATCCAGCCCAATTTTGACCCGGTCAAGATCGCGCAGGCGTACGAGGCCGGCGGCGCGGCGTGCCTGAGCGTGCTGACTGACGAGAAGTTCTTCCAGGGCAGCTTTGAGAACCTGCAGCTCATTAAGGCGGCGGGGGTCAAGTGCCCGCTGCTGTGCAAGGAGTTTATCGTGGAGGCATACCAGGTGGGGTGCAGGGCCACGGGTGTGGGGCCGCCGTGTGGATGTGTGTGGGGGTAGGGGCAGGAGCAGGAGTGTGGACTGCAAGGTTTGTGTGGTGCGTGGATTGGGGGCCCTCGAGACAGGTGCGCAACGCTTGGCGCCCCGTGTGTCAGGTGGGGTGAGACTATGGATCTGCTGTCATGTGGCCGCCGAGCAACCGCCAGGGCTGCGCCGCCGCAGACGGCAACGCCATTTCGGTGCGACCGCGCGGCGTCTCCGCCGCCGCCTGCCTCTCTGTCCGCCCTCTCAGGTGTTCAAGGCGCGTGTCAGCGGCGCTGACGCCATCCTGCTCATCGCGGCTGTCCTGCCCAACCAGGTGGGGCACCAGCAGCAGCGCCCACGCTTGCAGCGCCGCACCCGGATCACGTGGACCGCCGCTGGTCCCACAGCCGCTGAGCCAGCCGGCTGCCGCACTAGCGAGGGCTCCTCGACCCCGTACCTCAGCCAGCCAATCCTCGCCCCAACCTGCCGCGCCCCCCCTTGACAACACCCCGCGCGCGTCCTACACCTGCACACCCGCACCGTTCTCACCCCTCTTTACTCACCTGCACCCTGTACCACCACCCTAAACCCACACCCTCAGGACCTGGCGTACTTCATGAAGGTGGCGCGGGCCCTGGGCATGGTGGCGCTCATAGAGGTGCACACCGAGGGGGAGCTGGCGCGCGTGCTGCAGCTGGAGGGCGTGGAGGACCACCTGCTGGGCATCAACAACAGGTGGGGGCGGGGCCGAGTGAGGATCGGTCGCGCACACGCCCATGCGTGTGCGCGGGTGGTAATAGTGGTGGTGGTGGTGGTGGTGGCGTGCGTACGTGCACGTGCTGGTGTGTGCATGCGCGAGGGGCGTCGGCCATCTCTGATGCCCATGCGACACGCCGCAACGGTGCGTGCTGCTGCCATGCTGCAGGTGGCGGCGCTGCTGATGCCACAGCGGCACCCTGTTTAGCCTCAGCGTGCCTGTTCAGCCTCAGCTGTGTCGTGAAGCTCGGCCCTCCAAGCACCAGTACGGCCCCTCGCGTCCCATGCTCCACCAACCATGGGCCCAAACCTCAAACGCTGCCTCTGACGTCGACACCCCCCCCCCCC